CGTTGCCGGTCCCGGTCCGGTCCGGGGGCGACACTGGGGGTTGGGATCCGTTGCCGGACACGGAAAAAAAAAAAAAAAAAAAAAAAAAAGTTGAACAAATAGGTAATCGCAAGGAACTCAACGTGTTTTCTTTTGGAGCAAAACTCCTAGAAAGAATTGCCTATACCGCTGCCTCTAATTTCTCTTTCCTTTCTCTCTTAAACCCACTTAAATCTATCTTTCACGTCCATCTCTCTACTGAAAACTGCTCTTGTCAAGGTTCTCAATGACCTTCATGTGCTAATCCCTATGGTCAATCCTCAGTTTTCATCTTAATTGATCCATCAGCAGCATTTGACACAGTTGATCACTCTGTTCTCTTTGACATCTATTCTCCACTTGACATCAGCACACCACCCTTCCCTAATTTTCTTCTTGTCTCATTGGCTATTGTTTCTCTTTCTTGTCGGTTTCACCTAATCTCTTGGACTCTTTAAAGATGGAATGCTCTAAGACTAAGTTATTGGGCCTCTTTTCCATCTACACCCACTTCCTTGAATGAATGTATGGATGGACAGATAAATAGATAAACAGATAGACAGACAGAGACAGACACAGATACACACACAAATATATATACATATAGACACACATACATGACTCCCAAATTTCTCTCTCCAGCTTGGCAGTCCTCCATGACCTTTAGACTCAATGTCCAAACCTACATCTCCACTCAAATGTCCAGCTCTATATCTTCACTTGAATGTTTAATATACATCTCAAACTTAACCATATCCAAAACTGACCTCTTGATCTTCTCCCCACAAACCTACTTGACCTGAAATTGTTCCCATCTTAGTTAGTAGCCACTCTATCCTTTCACTCAGACCTTAAGAGTTCAAATCCTTTACTCCTTCCTTTCTCTTTTACTCCCATATCCATTCATTATGAGCTGGAAATCCCTTCCAAATATGTCTAAATTGAACCACTTCTCACAGGCTCCTACTGTGCTGGTCCAAATTCATATCAACTCTCACCTTGATGATTACAATAGTCTCTAACAATCTGCTACCACCCTGGCTCCTCTACAGTCTATTCTCAAGATAGCAGGCAGAGTGATCTTATGAATAATATGTCAGATTAATATAGGTCCATCTGCTGCTCAAAACCCTCCACTGGTAAAAGCCAGTGTCCTTCTAATGGTCTGGAAGGTTCTACATTGATATGCCACCTCTTTAATTACATTATCCACAACCCACCCTCCTGTTTCAGCCATAATGGTCTTATTTCTGTTCCTTGAGTATGCCAGGATGGGCCCACCAACAGGTCCTTTGAATTTGTCCGGATACTCTCTCCTCAGATATTTACATACCCCACTCCTCATTTCATTTAAATCTTTGCTTAAATGGTTATCTGATCATTCCATTTAAAACTGCAATACCTTGCCTCCCCTCTCCCCAACATTCCCTATCCTCCTTCCCTGAAATTTTTCTCAAACTTAGATATTATCTTCTAATATACCAAGTAATTTATTTATCTTATTGACCTCTTCTCTCTGGCCTACTAATTAAATGAAGGCCAGGATTTTTGTTTTGCTTACTGCTACATTCTCACGGCACAGAAAAATGCCTGGCACACAGTAAGCACTCAATAGATATGTGTTGAATGAACGAATTAATAATAATGAAGCATTCCTGAAGAATGTGTGGTTAATAGTATCAAACAAATTAGAGAGAAAAAAAGGGTTTGAAAATCTGGACATGGATTACATTTAGGTAGAAAGGATTTAAGTATGATCTAAGGAGACTTATAATAGCATATTGACACAGGAGTGTATCTTGCCACCCTCATGTTTTATGTTTAACCATCATTCCCTTTACAATTTTATCCTCTCTAGCTCTGATAATGTCATCATCACTGTAGGAAATTAAAATAAATAAGGTTCTGATGGAGTAGGCTACTGGTTTATAAACCTGACAGAACATTACCTTTTGTCCTAAGCTGAGAATACAGGTCAATAACTAGCAAAAAATGTAGCAGGAACTCATTCCTTTTTCTCTTCCTTTCTTTGTCTGATTCTCTACTCTTTTAGCAGCATTACTTTCCTCTTCTTAATGTCTATGAAGGAATGTGAATTTGCTCATTTCATATTTAAGACAACCAACTGCCAGCATAAAGTTATATGTTCAAGTGGAAAAAAAAATTATAATGATTATTATTAATGCCTTTGTTGAATTTAAAATATAGTTATTATAATTTTGTAAACAACTAAAAAAATCCAAAATTGATTAAAAAAAAAATTATCTTTACTCTCGCTCACTGGTCCAAAAACTTTTTTGTTTTTTGGAGGCTGACTGGTACAGGGATTGAACCCTTGACCTTGGTGTTATCAGCACCATGCTCTAATCAACTGAGCTAACTGGACAGCCCTACCCCAAAACTTTGATATTTGTCTGAAAAGAATTATGAAAATTCATAATCAAAACTGTCATTTTTTACTTTATGAGATTTCTAACCATTGCACACTTAAAAAAATATATAAAATTTCTTTAAATTAATTGTCCATCAAACAAGGAATACTAACTTTCTCTTGTACAGTTGGCTGAAAGTGTTGAATCTTTCCACATCCCTGTAAGGACTGCCAAATGTTGCAAAATTCATCATCATCTTTAGTAGGTACCTAGCAAAGCACAAATGATTTCTTAAGAAAATGAAAACATGAAGAAATAAAGATTCATATTAAAAATCAGATAATTTATTTGTTAAAGTTATTCAGTTGTAGATAGCATATTAAACTAACTTTCATTATCTGAAATCTCTCAATTCTTTTCCTCTAGAGCTCAACGTAGTAATCACAAAAGTATTCTACTGGAGTAAAATTGGTCTTCTTCACATGCAATTGGTTTTGAATGGTTTTACTGAAAAGTATTTAAATCATAACAAACACTATAAAAGGTTGTATTGAATCAATATCCTTACAGATTTTTTTATCTTCTAATAGTATTAATAAATTATCTCACTCAAACCAACATCTAAAGATTTTCTTTTAAAAATCTTCATCTTACACAAAAAATAATCTAATAAATTAAAAAAACAGCTATTACTTATGTAGAATTGATTTCTCAGAGATTAAAATTCTAAAAGAATATGCACCAAAATTTAGCAGTGGTTACCTATGAGATTTGATTTTTGCTTATGTTTCCTTTTGTTATCATCTACTTATCTGGTTTTCCAATTGGCCTATAATAAACATGCAATATTTGGGTTAAAAAATGTGGTTAAGCATAAGATCTGGGGCCATGGAATTAGAAAAGTTAAGTGTCTCATAAGACAACTCAATTTTTGTCCCCAGAAAGATGAGATAAAGGAAATCACCCATGAGCTGGCTGGTGGGAAACTGAAAATTGCTTTTGATAAATGTGATATAGTCCTCTCTTTTTTACTTTGCAAATTTATGTCATTCATAGCAGATAGCCTAGCACATTTGGATTATATAAAAAAAAATGTAAATGTTAACTTGAAGAGTAAATATATAAAGAGAAAACATGGACATTCTCAAGCTCATTATTTTTACTTATTTATTTTTTTGGAAGCCGGCTGGTATGGGATCTGAACCCTTGACCTTGGTGTTATCAGCACCACACTCTGAGTGAGCTAACTGACCAGCTCTGTGTTTTTTTTTAGGTTGCTGGCCAATACAGGGATTGAACCTTGTACCTGGTATTATCAGCGCTATGCTCTAACCAACTAAGCTAACCACTCAGCCCTTCAAGCTCATTATTTAAATACATGAATTTCTTCTTTAAAATAACTAATTTCATAACAGAGGTAAAACACTATCTTTATTAGACTATTATCTTAAATCTGGAATTCACTTGAACGAAAACTTTTTAAACAAAAAAAGAAAAACTAAGACAAATTAGGTTTCCATTTACAAAGTCTACTGTGATTTATGGTTTATAAAGAGAGTGAAGAGAAATTAAAGACTGAGTGTCTTACTTGAGTAGGAACAAAAAGTGATTGAGGGGAATGGTTGAGGCCTCCCAAATGCCCATATGAAATTGATGAATTTAAGCTATAGTGATTCACAGCTGGTTGTGGTTTCACAATGGCTGTCAACTTCTGATTTCCAGTCTCAGAGCGACTCCCATGAGATAGGTTCACCAAGGCACTTGTTGGCAGTCGATAACCTCTACCAGGTGAGCACCTAAAAGTAAAAAGTTTTTATTAGGGTCAGAGGGAAATAATACTAAGTGTGCTAGGGAGAAGAGTCAAATAATTTTGGGGTGGACAATCCAACATCAGAATTAGTAAACATTACTTTTAAATTCAGTAGAGGAACTTGTAATCATAGAAAGATCTCAATTTATAAGATGATACATTTCTGAAAAGTTTCCTAATAGACCATTCAGTGCTTACTAAGTGCAAGAAAAAAAACCAAGCCTTTTTCTAGGGTGTGTGTTTGTGTGTGTGTGCATGTGTGTATGCTTGTTTGCCTTTAAGAAGCTTGCATCTTCATAGCTGAGTATAACTGGAGAGTTCTTGCATTACATATGTCAAATTTCTTCAAAAAAAAGCTGCAGCTTGTATAGTCTGGGTTATAAAAGCCCAAGAGCTACCAGAGTGTGAAGCCATTTTCTCTGTGGTTCTTCCAAAGAAGAGGGAAAATGTTAGCTTTTTTTTTTTTTTTTAATGTCATCTTTACAATATTATTTATTTTTTTTGCTGGCTGTCCAGTACAGGGATCAAACCCTGGACCTTGTATTATCAGCACCACACTCTAACCAACTGAGCTAATCGGCTGGCCTAAATGTTAGCTTTGATCTCATTTGTCTACTGATCAATTGTTGAGTCTAGCCCTTTTGCATCCTTATCTTCCAATCTTAAAGTTCTGGGGCCTGGACCTGGGAAGGCTTAAGAGACAAGTGTGTGATTTCCTTCCTTCATGTCCTTGATAAAAGAGTTAGATGTTAAAATAGGCCTTCTCTTGTCAAAAGTTTTTAACTCCATCTCCTAATATTGTATTTCTCTTTGAGAATACAATTTTCATATATTGAAAGATAGTAAAGGGGATGGCCAGTTAGCTCAGTTAGAGTGGTGCTGATAACATCAAGGTCCAGGGTTTGATTCCTGTATCAGTCAGACACCAAACAAAAAAAAAAAAAGAAAAGACAGTGAAAAAGTAACATTCATGAGAAATGACTGTTAGTTCAAGGTTGCCAGAAAATACTTATTTTTGTGGGAGCTACACTTACTAAAGATTCTGCATCATAGAAATGAATATACTGTAGGAAGTAATCTTTTACACAGCCTTCTATCAGTCAAGAAATCCAATGCCCTTAACCAGGAGGGTGTGGGGAAAGGCACTAAAAAATAACATAAAAATAAATTTAAAACATATTTTAAAAGGTAGTGGGCTACAGTTTCTGGTAATCAAACATTTTCATGAAAAATAAAATCAGATATGGGATCCAGATTCTGCTGCTGCATCTGAAGAGTGCAGATAGGAAAGTCTTTGGATAACAAGCATATCCAAGTTGCAAAGCAACAATAACAACATCCTGAAGGTGACCACTTTGTGTAAGGACTAAAAAGAATGTGATTTTATGCAAGGCGGCTGAACAAGAGTAATTAATTCTTCATTTTAGTTATCCAATAATCAAAATAGAGAAGAAAAATTAAGTAAGCTAAATTCAGTTCAGTTTTCGAGCTGGTTTTTAGAAGGAATAAAGGAAAACTGGAAAGGATTTCATTTCATTCTCACAATAACCTAGTGAAGTATCTATATCTTCATTGTAGATGAGAAAATTGAGTGTCAGATGCTTTTAACTAACCTATTCAAGTGATGGAGCTCACACTTTCTAATACACGATTGTACCTCTCACTCTATCATGATCCTTATTCCTGTAACTTAAACTTTATATTAGAGCTCCCTCAAATATACTCAAGTCTCACTCATGTTAAATTAAAAACAGCCCAAACCTTGTCCTTTAAACCTTCTCATCTCCATTATCTTCTTTCCTTCATAGTCAAATTTCTCAAGGTTACCTCAATTTACTGCCTCCATCACTACACCTGCCATTCACTCTTCAAACCACCCCAAACTGGCTTGAGTACCCACCACTCCACTAAAATAGATAACAAAGACTTAACATGTCATCAGTTCAAAGACGTTTCTATTCCTCAAGCTATTTAACCATAAATGTCCTTTGTTGCCTATGCTATTCCTTCTTCCTGAGCACTCTTTACTATTCCTCCCTCTTCTCCCAGTTAACTATCATTCATTCTTCAAGTTGTATCTTAAATATCCATTCCTCAAGGAGATCTTTCTGGAACTCTCAGGGCAGGTTATACTATTTATAGAAACCTGTACTTTCCCTTCCCAACATTTGTCAAATTTTAATTAAATAATTAATGTTGTAATCAGCTGCTTAATTATCTCCCCATCTAAAATGAAAGCTCTATGAAAGTAGAAAGCACATCTGTCTTATTCACTGTTATATCCCTATTAGTAAGTATGATGTATTGCACATACCATGAACTCAAATTGTGGACAAATAAACAAGTAATGTAAAATCATTGGCCACATGAAGATACATGGGTACTTCAAAAAGTTCATGGAAAAATAGAATTAAAGATAATATGAATCTTTCCATGAATTTTTGAAGTACTTACCCTTGTATTCATAAAAAACAATTACCATCTGAAAATACAAACCTTATTGTTAAGCCGCCAGGAAATTCTTCATCAAATAATACTTCAAATAGTACATCAGCTTCTCTATTAGCTGTTCAAAAAGACAGAGAGAGAGATTAAAAAATCACATGAATAAGCAGATGTTTCTGGAGTGCTTAGAAGCATTTATTTTACTTTAAAATGCACATATTCTGAATATGAAGAATGGTATAATAATAATACAATGAACATGACAAAGGCTAAGAAACAGAACACCAGTGCCCTAGAAGACCACTGTGCCACAATTCCCAGCTAGGTGACCGTTATCTTCAATTTGACGGTTATGATCCCTGTATATTTTTTTACACTTTTACTACATATCTGTAAACAATATGTACTATTGTTTTGCAAGTTTTGAAACATTACATACACGATATCATAGAGATTTTGTTTCAACATATTTTTGAGATTCACCTACGTGAATGCGTTCATTCAGTTTTCTTTATGTTCGATATTCCATCTATGTAGTTATCATAATTTATCTGTTCTCCTGCTGATCAATATTTAGGTTGTTTCTAACTTTTAAAAAAAATTTATTTTATTTATTCAATCAAAATCGATTATACATATTTTGGGGGTTCAACATTGAGATATGTTGATCAAATCATTACTAGCATATATATTGTTACAAATCGTAATTATTCTTAACGCCTCGTCCAGTCTCTCCCCTTTCCCCTCCCCCCTCTAATTACCCTAGATTTCTTCTCTCCTTCTGAAAGAACAATGGTTACTCTGTTGACTTGTTGCCTAGATGATCTGTCCAATGCTGAGAGGTGTGATCAGGGCCCCCAACATTATCGTAGAGCAGATGCTTCTTCTGTCACTCTGAAATGGGCTTTGTGGAGAGAGACATCCTCTTCTTTATCTCTGCTGATGACTCTTCCTCGTGTGAATGCACTACAGTGGCTGGCGGACCACCTGTGTGGTGGTTGTGGTGTCTAGATGCTTTCACAGCAGCCATGGTTATTGTGGGGACTGCGGTGGGCAACCCACATGGAGGTGATGTTTTGGGCATGCTCCTTGGTGCTGGCCATATTCCTGGTTGTGGGGTGTGTCTAGTCCTGTTCTCCATGCCCTGGGTCCCTGGGCAGGTCCCAAGGTGCTGGCGCAGTGTGCCTAGTTTTGGGAGGACAGTCTGGTCCCATTCTCCATGCCATGGGATGCTGGGCAGGCCCTGGGGCATTGGCACGATGTGCCCGGTTGTGAGAGGGGGATCCAGTCCCCTTCTCCATGCCCTGAGTCCCCAGGTGGGCCCTGGGGTGCTGGCATGGTGTGCCTGGTTGTGGGAAGGGGGTCTGGTCCCCTTCTCCATGCCCTGGGATGCCAGGCAGGCCTTGGGGCACTGGTGCAGTGTGCCTGGTTTTGGGAGGGTGTTCTGGTCCCCTTCTCCATGGCCTGGGACCCCGGGTGGGCCCTGGGGTGCTGTTGTGGTGTGCCTGGTTGTGTGAGGGGGGTCCGGTCCTCTTTTCCATGCCTCTGGTCTCTGGTCTGGCCCTGAGGTGCTGGCATGGTGTGCCTGGTTGTGGGAGAGGGGTCCGGTCCCCTTCTCCATGCCTTGTGTCCCTGGGTGGCCCCAATGCACTGGCACAGTTTGCCTGGATGTGGGAGTGGGGTCTAGTGCCCGGCTCCAGCCTCCAGTTCCCAGGCAGGCTCCAAGGGGCTGGTGGTATGCCTGGGCTGGAACTAATTTTTTGTCTTTTGCTTACTTCTAACATGGGGGAACTTCCTGTGGGAACCAGTACTTGA